CCTATCATTCTTCTCAGAAACATCAATACGCCACGTCTTTGCGATGGTACCAGGCTTTCAGTGAAAAAGCTGATGCCCAATATCATCGAAGGTACAATTTTAAATGGGAAATTTAAGGGCGAGAATATACTATTGCCACACGTCCCAATGATTCCAACAGACATGCCATTTGAATTCAGACGCTTGCAGTTTCCGGTGCGACTCGCCTTTGCAATGACCATAAACAAATCACAGGGACAATGTGTGTGGACTACATTTGGAACATCCATGCTTTTCACATGGACAGCTATATGCGGCCTGTTCACACGTCGGAAAACCTGATTTATTTGTGTACGCGCCAGACGGAAGAACACAGAACGTTGTTTACCCGAAAGCACTTCAGTAAACAAAATTACAATGTCATTTTAAATTACCTGTTTTTTCCTACAGAAATGAAATCGGCACAATGATCTAAAATTAATTACATTTTCTTAAAGCGATTTTCCTTCCAATTCAATTTCTATTGTAGCAACGCGTGCAGGGTAGTTTACAGCAATTAGCAAATGTGTTCATTTCATAATTATGGTGTATTTTTCCTGTTTTCATTGCTTTTCTCTAGGGTAATTTTTCCAACTACTTCGATGAGGGAAAAAGTAGTAGGTGAACTTGGGGATGGGTGGTTAGAATAAACTGTTTACTGAGATAGATTTGAGTTACAGTAACTGCCTTACCCATTCAAAGTATTATTAGCTGTGGTTTAGCTGTTGCACTGTACATCGCTGACGTGAAGCGAAGACAGATTTCTATGTTCTCTATTTTCCATTTAGCCAAACTATGGCACAGCAACACGTGGCCGGGTACAGCTAGTATAAGTATAAATTGACTGATGAGGCATGTTTTGTGCTGACTAGTCTGGACTGGGTTAGAAAGTCATACCTGTCACCATTATTATCTTCGCAATTTGTAACTCAGATGTTACCGATGACATCACACTCCGGTGCCAGAGCAATCATAATGGCCATTGCATTGTCTGTTAAATAATCTGCATGCTCATTGCCTTGAACATCTGCAGTGCCCGGCACAAAGACAAAGGTTCCACTCGCCATTCACAACGCACTCAATGAGACAACCCAATCTTGTCTGATTAAGCTGCCCTAGAAGGGAGTATGTGAGACTGAGCTGAGAACCTCCTCGGTCGCTCCACGGGCATGATATGTTGTAAGATGTAGGAAGAAAGAAGAGACATAGATAAACAGGAGATATACCACTCCTTCTTTCTGTTTGCTCTGTTACAGAAGGTAAAATTAAGAGACAGAATTAGTGATAAATGGCAAAACTGATGGACAGACAGCAGGGGTGAGGCTAGTACCTTGATGGCTGGGCCAAGTGCATGGGGTGGAACAATCATGTTGACATGAGCTGTGAGACTGTGATATAATAACAAACCATCACCACATATGCTCATTGACATGGCACATGATGATGATCGTGATATTTCTGGGGTGTGGGTGGTGCTGAATGTTTGTCTGTGTGTGTAGAGGGGTCGGTAGGCTAAACAAGTTTGAAAAACACTGATGTACACTAGAAGGTATTAATGCATTCCCACAAAGCAATGAGCCTACTCAGCTGCACATAAATGCCTAATCTTGTCAAATTGTCTATTTCTTTGAGGACTACACTATACAGTAAGTCTGAGCTACTGCACACAGAATTGCATGTACTTGTGTTTCCTTACCCCCTTCCAACTCCCTCACAAAGGCTACAGAGCTAAGAATGACACAATAATTCTACAATCGTTACCTACAATCTGAATGACACAAGGTATAATTGTACAATTGTTTCCTACAATCCGAACTGTACGATTCGCTGAGTGAATTACAAAAGACAGTTAGGCTCATATTAGAGATAAAACTGCAGATACAGATAATCTATTTCAAGTGAACAAAAGAAGAAAAAGAAGTTACCTACAATGTATTTGATGGTTACCATGCAGGTGTGGAAATTAGAAGTGGCAACAGACTTTAAGGATTGCCTACAACTGGATGTTCTTTAATTAGCTCATGCACATGTTAACTTCATGTGCACCCTCTCTTGACCAGATGGATATTCTGACACCCTGTTCTAGATTAGATAGGGGCTGCCAAATGTGGCAGTTTTCTCTATAAACTATTTATTCCAAATGCACAAGTGACAATGCAAATGTAAGAAAATGGTAATGACAATTAAGAGTGCCAACACAATGCAGTTGAAACTTAACCAAATCACAGCCTGGTAGCGCTGGGCAATTCTATAAAGGCAGCAGTGACATGGTTTTTTTTCTGAAAAACCACATTGTTGAAGCAGATAGAAATACTGTTTATGTACTGACTGTAGTGATGGAGGCTGCCAAAATTAGCTCAAAATTCATGGGAGACACTTGAGCTGAGCATCATATCAAGCAACATCTGTTTGCTTTTCTGCATCACTTTTTGTTTCTTTCGGCCACTGAAAATATCTTGGCCATTTTCACATCAAAGCCAGGAATAAAGTCAAAAATTGAGAAACGTTAATCTTAGGTGTGTTAGGAATTCACATTGAGATTTAATTTTAATTTTCAGGAATGAATCAAAGAGCCATTATGTATAAACAAGGCTTATGCTTATCTCAAATGAAGCATCAGTTGCATGAAGCAATCAAGAGAGCAAAAATAATGCATTAAAAAAGGATCAATCAGCGTTGTGTAGTGTTCAGACTGCCCAAGTAGCAAGTTAGTTTACAGATGTTGACTCTGGGGGGTAATGAAAATCCCAGACATTTCCAAACATATTGAATGTCCTTCAATAAAAGAAGCTGTATATTGAATCCAGTGACAGTGGATGCAGAGACAAAGAAACTCACTGATGACTGTGACTAGGGAATACTGTTATCTACACAGATGGGTCCAGTTGTCTGGTACTGAAACTGTGCATGGGCACACATTACAAGCTGCAGTGGCAGAAGCCAGGAATATGTGTTAGAGACTAAATGATCATGATTTGCTGAATGAACAACCTATGTGATTCTTGAATTATAATCTTGAAAGTTTTGGTCAGACACGAAGCAGGCATTACTGGGACTCACAGAGTATTTACATTACATCAACATGTAAGTGTCATGGGCAATGAGAGAGAGGTTAGGCTGACTGGTTTTACCACTGTATTAGTCAACCACTGGAAGAGCTGCATTTTAAATACTCTTTAACCCAAACCAATAAACACTAGAGCAAGAATTTCTACTGAAGATCAAAGTGACCTAGAAGACAACAAGTATAACTCCAAAAGGATGACTAGAGCTTGTCAACATTGACTGCTGATATTACAGAGGAGACTGGGGCAGCTAACGACATGTCTTGGAGATCTATGGTTAGAGAATGGGACAGCTAAAGACATGTCTTGGAGAGCTATGGTTAGAGACTAGAGCAGCTAAAGACACGTCTTGGAGAGCTATGGTTAGAGACTGGGGCAGCTAACGACATGCCTTGGAGAGCTATGGTTAGAGACTGGGGCAGCTAATGACATGTCTCTGGAGAGCTATGGTTAGAGACTGGTGCAGCTAAAGTCATGTCTTGGAGAGCTATGGTTAGAGACTGTGGCAGCTAAAGACATGTCTTTGGAGAGCTATGGTTAGAGACTGGTGCAGCTAAAGACATGTCTTTGGAGAGCTATGGTTAGAGACTGGGACAGCTAACATGTCTTGGAGAGCTATGGTTAGAGACTGGTGCAGCTAACATGTCTTGGAGAGCTATGGTTAGAGACTGGGGCAGCTAAAGACATGTCTTGGAGAGCTATGGTTAGAGATTGGGGCAGCTAAAGACATGTCTTGGAGAGCTATGGTTAAAGACTGGGGCAGCTAACATGTCTTGGAGAGCTATGGTTAGAGATTGGGGCAGCTAAAGACATGTCTTGGAGAGCTATGGTTAAAGACTGGGGCAGCTAACATGTCTTGGAGAGCTATGGTTAGAGACTGGGACAGCTAAAGACATGTCTTGGAGAGCTATGGTTAGAGACTGGGACAGCTAAAGACATGTCTTGGAGAGCTTTGGTTAGAGACTGGGGCAGCTAAAGACATGTCTTGGAGAGCTATGGTTAGAGACTGCGGCAGCTAAAGACATGTCTTGGAGAGCTATGGTTAGAGATTGGGGCAGCTAACATGTCTTGGAGAGATATGGTTAGAGACTGGGGCAGCTAAAGACATGTCTTTGGAGAGCTATGGTTAGAGACTGGTGCAGCTAATGACATGTCTCTGGAGAGCTATGGTTAGAGACTGGGGCAGCCAAAGACATGTCTTGGAGAGATATAGTTAGAGACTGGGACAGCTAAAGACATCTTGGAGAGCTGTGGTTAGAACCTAACTCACATAAAGCCTGAGCAAAAGTATTTTTGTCTACTCCTCCTTCTCTTTTCACCCCTATTTGTTATCTTTCACAACTGCCATAATACAGTCTGGTACAGCGATTATTAATTACTCTATGAGCTTTGCCTAGTACTACAATCCTCCACATAAAAACACATATTGTCAATTAATTTAATATCAAATTACTCCAGGCATAAGGAGAAGGGATATGAACTCATGCTATGTATGGCTGGAATACATCTCCTACTCTCAAGTATTATTTTGTTTTTCTATTACATCAAACAGCCTAAATCTTCTACAACTGAACTTATAAAATCAGTGATAAGCAGTTCACACACTCTAGTAGGAAAAAACATGGGCATATTAACAAAGTCTTGAGTAAGCTACCAAAATGCAAATGGAGGAGACAAACTATGTTACAGTTTGTGTTTATTTTCAGTGTTATACAGGTTAAAAGGTGTTTACAATGTTATTAATTTACCAGATTTACACTTACAGTTGGAAATATACTTAAAAAATAAATTAAAAAAATAACACTAACTTTAGAAGCAAAAATACTGTTGACAAACACTGATCAAAATTCTGTATTTAAAAGTTATGTTTACTGAATGCATCTAGTTTTTTAAACTGTTTTTGTTCTGACTGTTTACCTGTCTCACAGCTGAACCCAGAAAAATGGCGCCTGCATTCACATCGTCCTGTCTCCACATCATAGAGTCCATGTCCTGAGCAGTTTTTGGAGCAGAGTTGGGTCACATTGATCTTATCTTCTGAGTTACAGTCTCGCCCCTTAAACCCTCTAAAGCAGCGGCAAGTGCCAAGAACACACGCACCATTGCCTGAACAATTGGGCATCATACAGTCCACTAGAGCAGACAATAGCAAACAGATTGATGGTAGGCAAACCAGGACAGAAACAAACAAAATACGGAGAACATTGCTACACTATCATACATAATGGATTAAACATAAAATTTAGTCAAAAACAAAGAAGACAATTCTGGACTCAACAATGATGGTCAGAGAGACACAGAGAATGTGACTCCACACAAAAACTGACATTGTTTACAACGCACAGAGATTTATAAACATTTGTGTAGTTACATAATGACTGTAGCAACATGCAGATTGTGATTGGACAATTTAAATTTGAAACTATAACAGTTTAAAAACATTTGTGTTCATGTGTTCAGAAAAATGTGTGTGTGTGTGTGTGCTATTCAAATAGGGAAACAAGCTGTTTACTCTATGAACAAGAGACTAAATCCACTGTAAGTGGTATGACCATTTTCAACAGAAAATAAAGCTGGTGATTTAGCCAACCTATAGAAAAACAGAGCACAAGTGGCTAGTTTGCTTGCTTATCAAGGCAGTAGTCCAGCAGTGACACGATGATTCGAATAAGCCTTATAAAATCTAGCTAGGAGCGTGACCATTACTTAGAGAATAACATGTTGCCAATAGTTGATTCTGTTAAATCAATCAAGTGGAAAAATAGTGTCAGGAAAGATCGAAACAAGTAGATTAAATTAAATTAGCAGTGTAAAAAACAACCACTGGAAGCTGAGAGTTCTGCAAAATAAGACACCCTGCAAATATTTTATGGTATCCAAATATTAAATGTAAACTACAATCAGCAAAGGCACAAACAAGTAAACAATCATTTCAAATACAAAAGAATGCTTCCTAGAAAATTTACTAGAAAAAAATTAAATGTACATCATCATCATCTTCTGCCCTGCCCAGTGGTGTCTCTCCACAGATCTCGGTCCGTGGTATTTTAAATTAATTCCATTGATCATATTCCACCCAAGCCATCGCTTCAGGCTGTCAAGCATCGTCTTTCTTGGACTGCCTCTGCCTGTTCTACCGCTGACCTTTTCCAGTCATCACAATGTTCTCCAGCGCCTCTTCTCATCAGATGCTTGAAAAACACTGATCACCTCTTTCTTATGGTTGTATATTGTTTTCTAATTCATTAGTCTATTCCAGATAGTCACTGTTAGCCATTTGGATATCTGTGTTATCCACAGCATGCTTTTCGGAGACCACACTTCCATGGCCTCCAAATTCTTCTTAATTTTCTCAATCACATTCCAGGATTCACAGCCGTACATCAGCACTGGTTCAATATAACAAACATTTCATTAATCTTTTGCTTACGTTTAATGAAAGCGACCTGTCGCATAAAATATATTTTTCGCCTTTTGAAATGCCACCTTTGCTGGCATATCCTTATTTTAATCTGTTGCATATGTTCACTTAGATATTATTACTATTCCCAAATATCTGAACTTGTTAACCTGCTTAAGCACTTTTATTGTAATTTCACACTTTTGTGTTTGTTTCTTCTTTGCTATAACCATTCTTTCTGTCTTCTTGATATTTAAGGAGAGTTCTGTTCTTGCACTCTCCATATAACAATATGGAAATGCCACTTTAGATCTTGTGTGTATTTAACTATGAATACTGAATCCAGCACATAGCATAGGCTGGTAACTGCCAGTTTCTATTTCTAGTCTATCTTGTATCTTTCTCATTATTATTTCACTACAGAGAGAGAAATCTGTGATAAAACACATCCTTTTAACTCCTTGTTTTATTAGCTGATAACTTCACACTTGATTTTCAATTATGGGATTAGTCGTCTCCACCACTGAGTATGCCATGCCCCTCATAACACTTAGCACCACACAGATAAACCGAAGAGAACAAAGTGAAAACCAGGCAATGCGTGTTACTCTTGTTACACCTGCCAACCCATGTGTTTCCTATGGGACTTTGCCATGATGAACAACAGAATCAAACTTTCCAGGGCCACCACTCTCTTTAAGGTGAAATCAGACAAGCGAAACACGCTCCACGGTGAAGTATTCTAGCCAAAACAAAACCCACTTGAAAGAGGCAGGTCTAGGATGGGTGGAGCAGAGGATGCCATCCAGCAGATTTGCCGCTTTCCAGATATTAATACAAAAGAATGCGTGCATTTGCCAACTACTTCAAACATCAGCATCAGCCTCGACAAAAGCTGCAGAGAACAAATCCTTGGCATAGCAAACATTTTAGACAAACCGTTAATTGATGAGGACACAAATATCAATGATGCTGTGATTTACATAGATGGATCCATCACCCAGGGCAAGTGAAGTAAATGGGCATTCATTGTGAGTGCTAAGGAGAAACCCATTGAAGAGATAGGTGGTGCCTTTGCTGTTACAATCAGCAGTCTCACAATGGAGACCATGGCTGCAACAAGGCACTGACATGGTTGGGTCCTCAAGAATTTACACACGTGTGCACACTGAGAGATTCAATGAATATGCTCAAGAAAGCCCAGGCCGGCTTCATCAGATGTGAATGAATTTTCTCATTAAATGCATCACAAACAACATGCTTAACCTTTATCTTTGCGCCGAGCTATGCAGGTGTTCAAAGCAATGAGCATGCAGATTATCTGGCAGACAAGGCAGTTACCATGACTGGCCCACTACTGGACATAATGGACAGGAATTATTAATGCCATATGAGCTGCATATCACAGAGAAGATCATGACAACAAGCAGGACTCCGTATTCTGGTCCAGGTTGACTGACATGTGGGTGCGATCTGGAGTAGCCAGATATGAACATTTCACCAAGGGCCTGAGGTGCCTGGTTAATCAACGCAGGTGATCAGTCATTTTACTCTTGTGGAGCAGCTGAGGAGATCGGAAGCACCTATGGATCTATCCGGAGTGCTGTGACGATAGTCCTCACCAATAACTTATCACTAAACAAACTGTTTCAGAATAGATAATGATAATTATCAGACAATTCACTAAGTGCCAATCTTCATATGATTTCATAAGGAAACAGAATGAAATGGATATACCAAAATTAATATAGACATATACACACAAGCTCACATGCACATTCACACAGTAAGGTCCCACTTCACTTTATGCCTCTTTACTCACACATCAATAACCGTTGCTTACATTGATGATAAACTGCAGTTCTAGTACTGGACTATTTGTAATTGTCCTTGTAATGGCTGCCTTACGCATTTAGTGTAAGTGTATGCTATCTTTGCCGAGACTGCAGTCCAAATGTGTCAGTTTTTAAACAAGGGACAGTGAAGGGCATTCTGTGTGGTTTTTGCTAGCACATGAATGGGGCAACTGTGGAGTGACCCATTTGCCCTGATGCTGGAACTGCAATTATCTGACACTTACAGATCCCTATCTCTCAAATATTTAACTTGAAATGTCCTTTCATCATCCAGCACACCCAAGGATATTAATTTCTTCATCCAATTTGCAATCTTTCATGAAAGTTGTTCCAGATATTTAAACTCAGACACTTGTTTAATACCTTTGCCGTCTACTGCCACAATTATGTTTTGCTTATTTCTCTCTACTGAAATTACTTCTGTACCAGTCTATTATCAGCAAAAGAGAATAATCAAATCAATCAGAAAGCCGCCACCAAAACCGGCACAAAATGATTACCATTTTATGGACAGAATAGAGCAAGTTATTATTCTATGCCTTAGAACAGGACACAATCGACTTGGCAGCCACGTGTACACAAAATTTAAAATCAACAAATCAGCCATGTGCACACGTGGACTGGGACCTGAGACAACAGATCATGTCTTCCAAGACTGTCCCAAATACAACATATCAAGTCAAACTTTTGGCCAACAGAAACATCGGTGCAAGTCAAACTTTACGGGTCGCTGAGTGAATTACAAAAGACAGTGAAGTTCATACTAGAGACAACACTGCAGATTCTAGATAATTTATTTCAAGCAAACAAAAGAAGAAGAATTTCTGTCATTTCAGTGATAATTGTCATTTTATTCGTTTTACATTCTTAATTCATGGATGTGAGATACTGTTGCAATGTCATGGCTGTATCTGCTATCAAGGCTTGGTCATCAGCTAAGAGCAGTTAGTTGATGTTACTAATATTTTCTTTCATTGGCTTGGCATCTTTGTTAATATATCATAGTAAATAATAAACAAGATTAGTGACAAAAAGTATCCCTGTATTACTCCAGATGTGACTATGAATGGCTCATATACTCTATGATTTATTCTGACTATGACTCTATGATTCCTGTATAAACTATTGCACAGTCCGACAAGGTGTTCGCTTACACAATACTGAGCAACACAACCATATGAAGCATTACATTTTTACATTGAAGTACATAGCTGCACTTGTAAATATTCATTTGCTCTACTTGGACACAGGAAATCAAGAGTGCCACACATATTTTCAATACATGATTTCAAACTACGATAGTGATGAGATCTTTAAAAGGGTAGAAAGAAAACATATAGAACTATCACGAGAAATTATTTAAAATACAACTGCAGAAAACCAAGTGTGTGTCTATATGTGCTCAGACAAAGGTGTGTTCCTAACACAAAGGAGATAAGCAAACATGCAAACATATGTGTGACATCATAAGCAAAATGACACATCTGACACTGTCAAGGCAATTTTCTGATAACAGTAATATGACACATCCAGGCATCATTTTGTAGTAGCCATTGACAATCAGGCATGTGCAACCTAGTAACTGTGTGTGACTCTATAGGTTTGCAGTCAGTGGCACATCAAACAAAGTACGTTATCTGCCTCCTTTAAAGCGCTCCAATTCTAATTGACATTCTTGCAGTGGTTCACAGAATGTCTACAGATTAATTCCGCTTTATAAATAATTAACGATTCTATTGTGACACACTTAAGCGTTATAGCAGTATGCAATGACATGTAATGTTAACGAGACAGATGTACTATATCATCTATGGCATATGTGGTCAGTTTAGATGACTTCATATATCAAACATTTATTTGACTATGAAACAATGGAATAGCACCATTTATCTAACAGCTTCATTGTTTGGTTCTAGCCAATAACAGGCACATTTTAGGGTGTGACACTTTTTTTTGGGACTTTTTGAAGTTACAGAAATTTTGAAATATCACTTTTCCTACAAAGCTGCCACCCTTACTTTGAAGATACGACCATTTTGTTGGTACATCTCTGCTGCCAGAATAGTTTGCAAGTCTGATGGTCTTTACTGTTTGTTTCCAAACATGGTTTTACTTTGTATTTTTCCATTTTTGTGTAACTCTGGTATGCTCCTCAAACAAAACAACAACAACAAAAAAGCCTCAACCTATGTGAATCTATTCTGTTTATAACTTTAGTAATTTGTTTTTATTATAAACTGAACACAGCATAATTTCACAAATTATTGCACATGCCTGTTGTAGGACAGACGTCTTGGATTCTTTGTATGAGAACATATTCTGCCAATGGTTACATTTATTTTAAAATTATATCGATGTAAGTGAAATTGTTAGCAAATAAGCTTGCCACCATTGATTCTTATTTTCACTACCATTAAGTAAATGCTATGTTGTAATGAAAAAACTGTTGATTTTTAGTAATTAGGAAATTAACTTGACAAGTGAAAGCAGCAATAAATAATTGAAAAATTGTGTAATAATATATAAGGTGTGCAATATGTAAACATAAATGACATATTTTGCTGATAGAAACAATTAAAGTACAACAAACAATAGGCTAGAATACAAGATTACAGGATCTTGCTAGCACCAGGTTTCCACAAAGTCTCACATCCACTGAGCTACAATGTTTGCTTTTTGTGTTCCTACTGAAGAAGCCCTGCTCTACTTCTGTCTGCTAACTTTCATAAATACTAGGGCACCGACTTAATTTTAATATTGAAATAGTTAGCCTATTCACATTCACATGGCACCTAATTTTGGTGTCTGATAGTCTTGTCCTGTGATTTTAACACTCTTGTATGACCCACGTTAAAGGCTTCACAGCTGTCACATCATCATGTAGCAGGTCTTTTGCAGAATGTCGCTCTCATCATGGTCTGCCTGAAAAAAACTTGGTCTCTAGCCAGCTCTCCGGTTTCTTGTACTTTCATATTCAAGGAGTCATTTCCTTGATGGTGGTTAGGCATTTGCTTTTAATGCTGTTTAATTTTTGCATTTCTATGGTCATCCTCTTTTTAATTTCTGTCAGTCTCCACTGTTATTTATTATAGAGTGTGGATATTCAAAGTTTGCGACATTTTAATTTCTTCATAAATTACTTTTTCACACAGACTTCTAAAAATCTGAAGGCAATAGCTCTGGGACATCTTCAGAGATGAAATGCATTAAGGTATAAATAATATTGTGTGTGGTGTTTGCCTCAAGGATACCTGGTGCTGTAAACAAACTGAAAAGCTTCAAGAGAACATAAACATTTTAAAACATTAAAAAAAAATTTTTTTGGCTACAACACAAATACATACCAATGCCACAGTCTGGTCCCTGGAAACCTTGAAAGCATACACACTGTCCATTTATACAATGTCCATTGCCGTTACAACTGGGCACAGCACACTCAGACTCTCGGAGGTCACATTCCACACCCTTCCACCCCTGGTTACACTGGCACTGACCTCTGAGGTACACTCCATTGCCACTGCACAACAGTGGGCAGACACCTGAAAGTTGTCAGAGAAGTTACTTGTGTCAATTTGGTGTCATATGTAAATATTGCAATAGTAACATGCAACAGTATTCTTTATGAACAAGACATGAATTTGTTAACAACACAATATGCCATAACCAAACACCAAGAATATCATCACAATCATGTTCCCTGCTGATAAGTATAGGCAGCTGTTGTTCACCATCTAACACACTCACCAGAGTATTCAATCAGGTTTCTGATCCAAGGCATGTTGTAAAGCCATCCAGGTATTTATCCTTTTGTCTTCATTTTTTTTTATTTCCTAGGAAAGAAAGATGGACTCCTGGTGACTAAAGAGCCACTATTCAGATTGGAATCTAGCAGGAGCAAATCCCAGAAGCCCTTCAGCTGTATAAGACAGTTATACTGGGACACCTGATGGTTACAAAGTAACCTACAGTCCAGTGTGTGTTGTGTGTTCTATCTTTTATCTCCTCCTTGCCATTTCCTACCAAGTTTTCCAGTCGTCACTAAGCTTTCATGTATATATCTTCCTTCAAGATGTCCAGAAATTCCTCACTGTTGATGTTTATTTCTCTAATTAGTTTACACCAAGAAGACTGTGTAAATATAACATATGCAACCAAAGATGGTTATTATGAATTAGCATTTCCTGTCATGTTTTTATTATAATTATTGATGCTCAAAGCCAAGTTTTCTGGTGTCATTGCCTTCTTAATATAATATAATTAGCATGACATCTTCTCACTGTCACTAAGGATTTATTAATTAACTGCCTTGTCTGTGAGTCATGGACAAATAATATCTTATTTTCTGCAGCCCTGTGGCCAAGATTAAGCTTGTCAAGAAGGATAGTCTCATTAAGATCTACTTCAGCTCTGCACTCTATGGCAATACCTGGCAGCAGACACCTCTTATGTTTGACTGTGTTCAGGGTTCTCAACTGCACCTCATTGTGGATATATTTGTGTGTGGAAACTGATAGAGTATAGATGAGTATCTATCTTCAGAAGCCAACTCTACAATAAAGGATTGCAGTTTCAATGTCTCTTTAAACGTGATAGACTGACTCCAATCTGTTTCTTCACACTATTCTTTTTCTGCTTACCCCCATTCTAACTTTTTGTTTCTTTCTGTTACGCATCTTATGTACTCACTCTCAAACAGAAAAGAACACTGAATATGATAAGAAAGTATCTGTGGCATTAGATAGAGTCTATAGATAATTATTATGGAAACTAATGATTTGATTTGGAGTCAGCAAACAACATCATCACGGAGTGTGGAAATGTTAAGAAAGTGATTACAAAAGAGCAGTTAAAATCAGTCAGGAAACATCTGAGCCATTCCCAGTAACTTTACTTCTGGAGAAAGACAGGGATAAATAAATGTCTTATCACTACTCTTATTTGCCACCTACACTGACAGTATAGGCAAAAGATTCTAAGCCTCGGAAAGAAAGTATTAGTAACATCAGCAAACTACTCTTTGCTAATGACCAAGCCTTGAAAGTTTATACAGTCATGACATTGCAGTAACATCTTACATCAATGAATAAAGAATGAAGAACAAATAATATGACAATCATCAATGAAAAGACAGAAGTAAAAATAATGTCAATGGGAAGACAGAAGAAGCAGAACTTGAATTTAGTGGTAGAGTGCAAAGGCATTAAGGCATCTGTGTTTAAATGTCTTGGAGCAATATTCACTGAAGATGGGAAACTGGATGAAGAACTGAACATCTAATTCGGTCTTATGGTGAATTTTTGGACCCATCAAAGATGCAAACAGCATGGAATGAAGAGTGAGAAGCAACAACAAAATTCATTATCTATTCAAATAACCACTGATCACTGACATCATGACTGAAAAGGCTGGGACATAATGAGAGAATGTCAGATGACAGAGAAGTAAAAACGGTTTACACAAGGGAGATGAATGGTCATAGATCATGAGGCAGACCAAGAAGACGATGGAGAGATAATGTCGTGACAGACCTGCAAACACTTAGTGTCACCAATTGGAAAGAGAAGGTCAACAAGAGAGATGAATGGAGGCGGGTGATATCTGCAGCAATGAATGGGCTCAGAATGCTGCTGAAGAAGAAGAAGAAGAAGAAGAAAGGAATATTAATATTATGTTATTTGTGTACACTTAAATAAGCCTTAGGCCCTTTGAGCTGTCCCTACCCCAGAGAATGTGTTGACAGCAAAATCCCCAACCTCCCCACCTTCTTTTTGCCAAAAAATATGTGTGTGTGTGCGCATGTGTGTGTGTGTACATGCATGTGTGAGAGAGAAAGCCCCTGGCTATTTGTATGATTTTATCAAACATCTTCATGTAAAACTGAGCAATTACTTGGTGTCTAACACAGAAAGAAAGATGAATCTGTGTGCCCAACTGTTACCCCATTTAAAATAAACTTGGCATATTAGTTCACTCCATAGAGGGTGCTGTAGCTGCAGATGACAGTTTTTGTTTCCCACTATGACAGCAGGTGGCTGAATTGTTTTATTCCGCTACTAATTTTAAGCAAGCCATCCAATCTCTGGTACTCAATAATTTCACATGTGGAAGATTCATGTGATGATCTAGGTAGGTAGTGTTTGATATTGTGAAGGTGTCAGATACCAAAAGTTCAAGATTTAAGTTGAGACGATCAGTCTCTCTCTCTCTCTCTCTCTCTCTCTCTCTCTCTCTCTCTCTCTCTCTCTCTCTCTCTCTCTCTCTCTCTCTCTCTCTCTCTCTCTCTCTCTCTCTCTCTCTCTCTCTCTCTCTCTCTCTCTCTCTCTCTCTCTGCAGATCAGCTAGCCACCTGCCAAGAGCATTGCACAAAGCACAAACTCTGCCAACGTTCCTCAGAAATCTCTATTTAAAAAAAAAACTGCGCTTGTAAACTGGATGATGCAGCCAGGAAATGAACCCATGACCTGCCCACCCAATACTAATAATGCAACAACCAAAGTTTCCGCAGCTGCCTCGAGTCACACATTCTCTTTCTTGCGCTCATACTTGCGCTCATACTTAACGCTCGGATGTCCTAATAACAGTGCCATTTGGTATATAAGTGCACTGGCTCCGTTAATAAAGGGCAAAAGAAGAAATAGACACTTAAGTACACAAATGCAATGTGTACTCCAATACACTAACATGCACTCAATACTCGAAAACGCCCACTAAAAAACATGAAAATGTATACAAGTATGCAAACCTACACCCAAATTTACATACACACTCAAATACTCAAACGTGCACTCTACACGGAATTGCACTCACATACACTTCTTCTTCTCTTCCAACATTTACCTTAGTAAGGTGTTGGGGCAGATGTTTGTGGGCTTTTTTCCAATGCACTGTAGAAGTTGGTGTACATTTCTGTAAGGTTGCTCTTGATGATATCTTACGTGATCTTATTCTTGCTCTGTGTTCATTATATTTCTTCAGTGTGGCTCTCTGTGGCAGGTGGTACCAGGGCATTCTCGTCAAGTGGCCAAACATTCTCATGTATTGTTCTTTAATGAACTGCATGACTGGTTTCAGTCCTAGTCTTCTAATTTCTTCATTCCTGATTTTATCTCTTCTTGTCACACCAGCAGCTCTCCCAAGACTTCTCTCATCTTTGTTGATACGATCTTCAGCTCGTTAGTTGAGTTGTAGTAAGGGTCCATGTTTAAATACATTAACACGCTCAAGTACACGAACAAGCATATGTTCCATTCACACACATAAATTCACGTATACGTCAGTGTTCGCAAGCACCTGTAGAAAACAATACTTGGGAAAGTGCAAAGATGGATAGATTCTAGCCCAGAAACAGACTGAATCTCGCGGCAACGACATAAATATTCATACATATATCGTGCAGATAGTCACGTACTGGCGGACACACACATGGCTACTGCAGGTCTCTCCAACATCTATAGTTAATGTCTGAGCAACTGTTTGTCTGTGTGTATTTAGCCATGCACATAATACATTTTCTTTTCCAAACACGGAAATGGAGCAGAAAATTAGACGCTACTGTAAACGTGTCTTTATTACAAGACTGAGTTTGTCTGAGCACCCACAGGCCAGATTTTTTTTTAAGCCGTTATACTTACTGACCTGGCATCAGTGTCTGGTATCGGCCATGCCAAGAAACATATACTTTCCAGTTTTGTTATGCCGTCCAACCTCGCACTGGAAGCCCTTTTTTTTCGAGAGAAATTCTAAATGTGAGAGTCCAACACATAGGATAGCATCCTCCGAAGAATGTCCCCTGCTACCTCTTCGTGTGTATCGACTATATCAGTACTACTTGTGATAGGTTTAATTCAGTACAACGGAGAAAATTAGAAAACAGAGCTAGGAAAGTCAGCCGATCCGAATGTGCGTCGCCAGGCAGAGAGGCAAACATTTATTTAGATACACGCGAGGAGCGAATGTAGACTGGAAGCGATATATCTGAACTTCTGGCATGGGGCGGATGGAAATCCCCAAGGATATTAGACGAAGAACAGGAAATGAAGTGTGTTCCCGCGAGATAGAATATCGTTGTTGTTTTTCCGCTTTTAGGTCCGTGTTGAAAATGTTTGAGAAAAAGCAGACTTTACAAAAACAGTCTGTACTAGCAGGTGGCTTCTATTGTCTAAGGGCATTCCCAATGAACAAGGTAATTTTATTCCTGCCTTCCCGTTAATGCTACCCACAGTTGCTAGTGCTAGGGAAGAATGGGCCTCAGTTTGAATAATGGGAAGACAAGTAATGGTGGTATCAAAGAAACGAATTATTCTTAAATGTGTAATAAAAGTCGATGGTGTTATTTTAGGACAAGTACAGAAATTTAAGTATCTGGGCACATGGATAACATCAGATGGAAGATGCATAACTGAGATTTAAAAAAAAAAAAGAATAGGACAGGCACAAACTGCATTTTATCAAATGAAAAACATCTTGTGCAATACATCTTTGTCATTGAGAGTTAGAAAAAGAATTCTTGCTTGCTACATACATCCAGTTTTAACATATA